AAGCTAGCCAGCCAGAAGGCTGGCGCTCCCCGCCCACAGCTCCCTGTGCGCCAGAAGCATCCTTCCGGGGAACCAGGAGGCCGGGAGTGAGTCGCCGGTCCAAAGACCCAAAAAACCGGCACTCCCCGCCCGAGGCTCCCCGTGCGCGGGGGGCCCACCCTCCGGGAGCCAGCAGGCAGGAAGCTAGCCAGCCAGAAGGCTGGCGCTCCCTGCCCACAGCTCCCTGTGCGCTGGAAGCATCCTTCCGGGGAACCAGGAGGCCGGGAGTGATATTAGTTTATTTTAGATCATTAAAAAGAAAGTTTTGTGTTCTGTTTCTTTTTTGTAAGAATCCTTTAAGCTTATGCCTTGTACTCAGAGGAAGTAATTTGAAGATAACGATACACACTGTATTAACTGTTGTTATTCCCTTATTATTTTGATACAAAATTTTATGTTCTCATTTTAAAAAGCAAACATCGGTCAATATTACTGTATAACACAGCATGACTCCTACTATACAGTGTTCTTTCTGTTGCCCAATCCAAATAACCACGTTTTATCTGACAGTTTAGATGCACATATTGCATTATATCCCAAGAACTGTAAGTTAGTCTTCTTCCCATTGATTTCTTTGACTGCAGTATTTGACTTCATTAGTACTCCTCTAGAACACTACTAAAGTCTTGTTTTAAAAAAAGAACAAACAACTATACCTTGCCGGCTTATCCATCGCTTTATTTGTTTTTTTCTTTTCTAATAATTCCACCACTGCCAGTCTGTGTTGCCTTTGAGCCACCAGAAGCGGTGTGAGGCCATTCTGTGAACAAGCAGAAATAATTTATAACCTACACAACTGCCTATTCCTCAGCTGAACGGAAAACCTTGTAAGAGACCCAATGACTCTAACCTCATATAGATAACGAATACACAGCAGCCTCTTCCTTCTCACTCACAGTGCTTGCACGTGTGCTGCCCCTGCCATCTGCCCTCTGCAGTGCATTCTCTCTGCCAATTGCTACATGAACTAGTGTGAAAACTCGCTTCAGACATTCACTGGTTCCAAGGATCTTTCCATCACAGCATTTATTGTGGTATTTTGGAGTTAGGTACCATCTCCCACCTAAATCAAAAGCGTCTTGAGGGCAAGGGCATATCTTTTACCTCAGTAGCCCAAACACTAATGCACAGAAGTAAAAGATTTAAGTGTTTTTACTGAATTAATGAGCTAAATTATCATTTCTAGGGCAGGGATTCTCAGGCTATATTCCAAAGAATAATTTCCACAAGTTGTATGTCTCAACAGAATTAACAACCATCTGCTTGAGAAATTATAAAACTGTGCATTATTTGTTCAGTATTAAAATCCCTTTAACTTTGCTTTATCCCTATTCAACAATACTTTTTTCTGACAAGTATCAACATCTGAGGAATTAAGAGTTACAAAGAATTAAGGGATACACTACTGAGAGCGTTGCAATAACATGGAAATTTCTTCAGGGCTATGGAGGAAACTTGCTGGATTCTACTTACGGTGTCAGGATCCAAATTCAAGGGTCAACAATTCCTGCTTCAAAGGAGTCCCCAGGACATGGTCACTCAATTGTGAGACATGCTCCAACTGAACTTTGATTCCTTATTAGTAAACTGTCTATGGGTGTTTCCACTATTATTACATGAAAATATTATCTTAGCTGTTAGAAAGCTCAGTACAAAACTTCAATTCTCATTTGTAATGGTAATCCCGGGATTCACATGCATGTTGACCATTTTAAATATTTTTTTATTTTGGTTCCATTTTAATAGCTAAGGTTATTTCTTTATTTTATTTATTTAGGCAAAATATAAATTAGAGGTAAAATACGGTTTATCAATAAACATTCTAATACTACCCAATGTGTATTTTATCATCAGGAATAAAATCTAATACTGCTCAATACAGATTAATTTTGCCATAATGAAAGCCACTAAGCCACTTTTGTTTTTAAGGGATAAGGCTGAAGAGGATGATGTGGTATTCTTGGTAACATGCATAAATTATCCAGCTGTAATCATAATTAACTTAATAAGGCTTGTAGACATTCTAACAGGAACACGATCATCTATAGCATAAGGGAAAACACTGAAAACAACAACTTCTGAATTGAACTCCATTTCTAAGAATTTCTTATAAAATATACATTACATTCCTATAAATTAACATGAAATGTCTTGAAACACCTGACTCTATTAAAATATACCACAATTTAAAAGCTGGAAACTCTCAGACAGGCACAGTAGTAGACAGGTGAAAATACACAAGTGGGTTCATAGCAAACTGGAGAAAACACGTCAGCTTCACATACAGGGGGCAAACCCTAACAGCCACGTGGGCTCTGAAGACACTAGACTCCCTTCTTTCACAGCATCTAGAAACCACAAATTCTGCTAGAGTTTCCTGAAAGTTCAATGTGGATTCAATTTATAAAGGGAAATTGAATATAGGTAAGAGCCACAATTAGTCCACAGTCTTTTACTTATATCTTTCTTGTGCATGTGCTTCCAAATGGTTGTGTATAAAGCAAGTGTTTCCATGTAAAATACTTCTTTACCATCATGTTTTACCAAAAGTGAGGTCCCACAAAGAAATGAAAAAAATTCATTATACCTTTTTCAATGATTTTTCCAAAACTGAAAATTACCTCCATTTGCATGCAATTCTCCCTGACTGTTAAATAAATACTTTCATAGGAGTGCTGAGACTAAATTATCAAAAGAATTTCCAGCTGGGCACAGTAGTGTGCACCTGTAATCTAATCAGTCTGTGAGGCCAGGCAGAAGGACCCCAGTTTGAGTTCCATTTAGGCAGCTTAGCGAAAGAAAGAAAGAAAGAAAGAAAGAAAGAAAGAAAG